TGCTGTAAGGATTTGTTCCTTCTTTTGAGCTACTACACACATAGGTGTAGGTCAAGTTCATCAAATTGTATCAGATTACTCTCTTTTTTTTCCTCTTCTTCTTCTGATCATCATTGAAGCCAGGTCAAGTGGGTATTATCTGCAAGTGTGGGTGTTCCTGTGCATATGCCCTCTCTTTTTATCAGCTGAATGCTTCACTCTCCACATTGTAAGGCTTAGCTCACCACTTCATTGCTGTTTTTCCCTCACTTCCCTTTATTGGTGATGAGCGTGGTCCTCAATCAGAGGTGCATTCCCATTGAGTCTTATTCTTGGAAGGGGGTTTGCACTGAGGGGACCTGACCACTTGCCTTGATGTTTCCTGGGCAAGCAACTTGTTTGTTCTTGTAGTAACAGTCCATCTGCCTCTATTGTTTTGTATTTTTCCTGTAGGTCTTTCTTTCAAGAAGTATCTTCTGTTCTTCTAGCCACTCTAGGCTGGTTTGCTCGTTCCCCAGCTCTTTCACCAGACCCATTCCTTGACAGAATTTTGCAAGACCAATGACTTCTTTACTGTAAATGACTTTTTTAAACAACATAAAAGATAACTACACACATGGACCTCAGAAGATGGAATACACAAAACTCAAATTGACTACATCCGTGATGGTGGAAAAGCTCCATATTATCAGCCAAAACAAGGCCAGAGGTAGACTATGGAACAGGCCATTAATTTCTCATTTGAAAATTCAGACTGAAGCTAAAGACAATTAAAACAAGTCCAAAAGAGGCAAAATATGATGTGGAACATATCTCAGATGAATTTAGAGATCATCTCAAGAACAGATTTGATGCATTAGATACTTACATATGATATGTACATACTTACATCAGAGGTCAGAAGAGTTGTGGGATGACATCAAGAACATCATACAGGAAGAAAGCAAAATGACATTAAGAATACAAGAAAGAAGGAAAATACCAAAATGGATGCCAGAAGAGACTCTGAAACTCTCTCTCAAGTGTAGAGATGCTAAAGCAAATGGAAGAAATGAGGAGGTAAAAGAGCTGAACAGAAAATTTCAAAGGTCAGCTCAAGAAGACATCGTCAAATATTATAATGAAATGTGCAAACACCTGGAGTTAGAAAACCAAAAGGGAAGAACACACTCAGCATTACCCACGCTGAAAGAACTGAAGAAAAAAATTCAGTCCTCAACTTGAAATATTGAAGGATTCTTTGAGCAAAATATTGAATGATGCAGAAAACATCAAAAGAAGCTAGAAGGAATACACAGAGCCACTGTACCAAAACGAAATGGTCAATGTTCAACCATTTCAAGAGGCAGCATATGATCAAAAGGCAATGGTACTGAAGGAAGAAGTCCAAAGTACACTGAACGCATTGGCAAAGAACAAGGATCTAGGAACTGATGGAATATAAATTAAAATCTTTCAGCAAACTGTTGTAGCATTGGAGGCACTCACTCATCTATGCCAAGAAATTTGGAAGACAGCTACCTGGCCAATTGGTCAGAATAAATCAATTATCTGTGCCCATTCCAAAGTGAGGTGACCCAGTGGAATGTGGAAATCATCCAACAATATCATTAATATCATATGTAAGTGAAATTTTACTAAACATAATTTTTAATGGCTGCAACAGTAAATTGATAGGGAACTGCCAAAGGTTCAAGTGGGATTCCGATGAGGATGTGGAATGAGGGATATCATTGCTGATATATGGTGGATCTTGGCTGAAAGCAGAGAATACCTATGCTAATCAAAAGCTACAAAAAGTCTTTCGATTGTGAGGATCATGACAAGCTATATGGACTACATCAGGAGAATGAGTATTCTGGTTAATTGTGCTCATGAGAAACCCATACATAGACCAAGAAAGGCAGTCATTCAAAAAGAACAATGCAACATTGAACTGATTAAAATTAGGAAACATATGCACCTTAGGAAAATTAGGAAATGGTTGCATTCTTTCACCATACTTATCCAAACTGTATGTTGAGAAATAATCCTAGAAACTGGATTATATGAAGAAAACCGTGGCATCAGGATTGGAGGAAGACTCATTAACAACCTATGATATGCAGATGATACAACCTTGCTTGCTGAAAGCGAGGAAGACTTAAAATATTTTAAATATGGGTTGCATCTCAAGGCAAAGAAAACAGATCCTCAGCATTGGAGCAATAAATAACATCAAGATAAATGGGAAAAAGATTGAAGTTGTCAAAAACTTCATTTTGCTTGGATCAGCCACCACCACTCATGGAAGCAGCAGTCAAGAAATCAAACAAGATATTGCATTAGGCAAATATGATGCACAAGACTGCTGTAGGGTGTTGAAGAGCTAAGATGTCAACATGAGTACTAAGATGTGTCTGACCCAAGCCACTGTATTTTCAGTAGCCTCATATGCATGTGAAAGTTGGACAGTGAATAAGGAAGACCATAGAAGAATTGACACATCTGAGTTATGGTGTTGGAGGAGAATATTAGTACAGTGGACTGCCAGAAGAACAAACAAATCTGTGTTGGAAGAAGTACGGTCAGAATGCTCCTTAGAAGCTAGGACAGTCAGACTTCATCTGTAATACTTCAGATATAATATCAGGAGATATCAGTCCTGGAGAAAGACATCATTCTTTGTAAAGTAGAGGATGATCACAAAAGAGGAAGACCCCAATGAGACAGATTGGCACAGTGGCAGTAGCAATTAGCTCAAGCATAGCAACAATTGTGAAACTGGTGCAGGACTGGGCAGTGTTTCATTCTATTGTGCATAAATTCCCTATGAGTTGGTACCAAGTTGACGGCAATTAACAACAACATCCCTCCCCAACATGGATCCTCCTGTACAATAAAATCAAGAAAAGATAAAATAGTAATATTTGGAAAATAACAACCAATAAGAAAATGTAAATCCACTGAATTGTTAGTTGTATCAAACGTAAATTTTAACACGTTACTAATTTTAAAAATCATAATTCAAACTTAAACTCTGAAAACTTTATAAAATCAGATACATATTTGCAAGATAGTGATGTTTTTAAAAGAAAATATTAAAAAGTCTAAAAATGTTTAATTAAATTTCAGATTTATGTAGAAAACATAGCATTTTACCTACTTAATATTTTAAACTATCAATTTCTCTATTTAGTTATCGAAGAGTTATAAAATCAATAATTGTCATACTTGTAAGTTTATTATAAATTTTACTCTGATTCCATTATCTGGTTTGTAGTCACAGTAATTTGTATATTTATGTTGCCATGTGCAAGTGATGCAGAATCCGCCTCCCAACCTCACCCCAAAACCTTCAAATGTATTTTCCCACAAGAAATGCTGACTCATGCCTGCCCTCTCTGTATGGCAAAGGTAGATGTACTTTGGATGCACCCTCTTCTAAGAACTTGTCTGCCTCCTTCTGAGTCCCTCTTCTTGATCATAGTTTAGGAATTTTTTTTCTCAAGATCCAGACACTCAACTCATTCTTCATTGGTCCAACAAGTATAATTCACTGAACTCAAGCTTCCACAGATTCCAGTATGCTGGACTCTACTGACAAGCAATAGCTTGCTGAGCTCTGGGGCAGTGATGTGGGTCTGACACAAGTAAAGCTGGTCACGGTACTTGACACATGGAGTTTTACCCAGAGTTCAGGGAATCAATCCTTACCTCCCAAGCTTTGGTCCTACTTTGCCTTACTTGGTATCCTTCAGCTTATACTTGATGTTAAGTGCCATCAAGTTGGTTCCAACTCATAGTGACCCTGCATAGGGTTTCCGAGGAGTGACTGGTGAGCTTGGACCACCACCTTGCAGCTGAAACTGACTTTGCAGTCAACACATTAACCTATATAGCACCACACCAGGGCTTAATCTCTCTCTATTATCAAGTTGATAAATTCACTCCTCTGTAATCCTTGCAGCTCACTTGCCCCTGAGAAGCTTTTCCTCCTTTCAACTCTAGGGTATGTACTCTACAATCTCAGTCAGCTCCTAGTAGACAAAGTTTTTGACAAGATTGTATATCTTAACAGTCAGAAGTCTGATCTAGGAACCACTAGTTTGTATTCTATCCATTTACCCTACCTAAGGACTATGCTCAGAATAAATGACTCCAAATCCCCCAAACAGTCAACAAATCCTGTCCTCAAAATGCTTTTGAAGATGAAAAATTTTAAAGTTATCTTAAAATTTTTCAATGCTTCTCACTATCTTCTACTAATGTTTTTGCTAATATCCAGCTTTTCTGAATAGCTGGTGCCATAGGATAAGGACGCAACCTCAAGGTCGGTTTGAACCACAGGATTCAAACTCACCAGCCACTCTTTGGAGACCCTGTACAAGGTTGCTATGGGTCGGAACCAACTCAATGGCACTTAAAAACAACAAAGCAGCAAGGCCCACCTGAATTTAGGCTTAATTCTTCAGCACATACATATTGTGTTTCTTTTCTTTTCTTTCAATTTATCTTGCCACATTTTTCTCTCTTATAAATAGAACAAAAGGTCAAGGAACCTTTTAGTTTGTCTTGGAAGAGAAAATATTTTTACAAAAAAACTGTACCATAGAAACCCTCTCTGCCCGGTGGCTCTATGGTGGTGATGTACCATGGAGTCATAGGGTTTCTGAAGCTGTAAATCTTTATGGGAGCAGGAAGCCTCATCTTTCTCCCATGGAACAGCTGGAAGTTTCGAACTGCAGACCTTGAGGTTCACAGCCTGATTCGTAACCACTTCGCTACCAGAGCTCCTTTGCAGTTGTTGGGGTTATGTGCTGTGGAGTCGGTTCCGACTCATAGCAACCCTGTACAGGGTTTCTGAGGCTATAAATCTTTACAGGAGCAGAAAGCCTCATGTTTCTCCCGCAGAACAGCTGGTAATTTCGAACCGTCAACCTTGGGGTTAGCAGCCAGATTCATAACAACTATGCTACCAGAGCTCCTTGAGCTCCTTTGAAGTAGGCTCCAAACCCAGCTGCCTGCTTTATCTCCACCGGCCACCAGGGGAAAGTCCTGCACAAGGTTTGCTGAGCTGTGGGTCCCAGGATCACCTGGAGCCAAGGTATCTGACACTTTCCATGAAATCACTCCGTTCTGCAATTAACTTCCTTTTCCTGATAGAACGTTATTCAGACTGTGACACACACAGAAACCCAAGGGAAATGCCCCGCAAGTCACAGCACTCACATGTGAAGACACAAGGGTTAAAGCTGGAAAAGGGAATCTAGAAGAAACATCTGTTAAATGATTAGCATGAGAAAAGAAAACCAGGCTGAACTCGGTCAAGCACATGTTCCTTTTAGTGGACTGACTGATGGAAACACATATATGTACATATATTTCCATTTTACAAGACCTTATGAATACACTCTTATCTTATACAAGTCCCTAGTTTTGCAAAAGAGAACACTGTAGGACTTCCTTGAGGTCACACAGCTGGTTGATACAATCAGAACCACATGTTCTGAGTCCCAGTAAAGTCCTCTTAGTAAGAGTCTCACAGCTTAAATTAGTCTCCCTACCAAATGTAAAACAAAAGTCAATTTTCTAAAACTCACAAGTAATACTCAATTATTGCTTTCTTGTTTCAAATCAGGTGCCCTGGGTGATTCAAACTACTAAGCACTCCACTACTAGCCAAAAGGTTGGTGGTTTGAGCCTGCCCAGAGGCACCTCAGAAGACAGGCCTGGCAATCTGCTTCCAAAAGATCACAGCTTTGAATCCCTGTGGAGCACATCTACTCTGCACACAGGCTTGCCATGAGTTGGAACTAACTTGATGGCAATTGACAACAGTTTCTTACAGTATTATTCAAATTCCTCAGTAGCATCATGTAATCCCTATGTTTGGCCTGTGATGAAAGGGGGCATATTATTGCTAGCTGGAAGGCATCAGGTTAAAACCAATTCTGATTCCATTAACCAGTAAAAACCTTCATGTGGGACAAACAGTGTGCTATTTTCATTTGTACAGTTCAGATCAGACATGTGCTGAGGTCTAGCAATATTTAGACTATCTATGTATTCGGAAATGGATCCCCCATTTGATATCCTTCCTAGTGTTGTTTTTGTTGTTAAGTGCCACTGAATTTTCATTCATGGAAACACTATATAGAACAACTGTTAGGTTTGAACTGCCCATTTTGTGGTTTGCAGTCCAGTGCTGATCCCACAGCACCACACTAGGAGTCCCTCCTATATAAGCTAATATTTTGTGCTAATAATACAACCCAATGGAATGCACAAATCATTGGACAATATCATTAATATCACATGCAAGTAAAATTTTGCTAAAAATAATACAAAAAAGGCTGTAATCATATATTAAAAGAGAACTTCCAGAGGTTTAAGCTGGATTCAGAAGAGGTTGTGGAACAAGGGATATCACTGCTAATGTCAGATGGAACTTGGCTAAAAGCAGAGAATACCAGAAAAATGTTTACCTTTGCTTTACTGACTATGCAAAGGCTTTTGATTGAGTGGATCATGGCAAGCTATGGACAACTTTGTGGATAATGAATATTCCAGAACCCTTAATTGTGCTCATAAGGAATCTTTACATAGACCAAAAGGCAATTATTCAAATAGAACATGGAACACCAAATGGTTTTAAATTAGGAAAGGTATGCACCAGGGTTGTATTCTTTCATCAAACTTATTCAATATGTATGTGGAGCAAATAATCCAAGAAGGTGGATTGTATGAAGAAAACCATGGCATCAGAATTGCAGGGAGACTCATTAACAACCTGTAATATGCAAATGATGCAACCTTGCTTGCTGAAAGCAAAGAGGACTTAAAATACTTATTGATGAAGATCAAAGATAACAGTCTTTGGTATAGGTTGTACCTCAATGTAAAGAAAACAAAAATCCTCACCAATAAATAACATCAAGATAAATGGAGAAAATATTGAAGTTGTCAAAGACTTCAATTTGCTCATATCAACCATCAACACTCATAGAAGCAGGAGTCAAGAAATCAAATGACATAATGCATTAGGCAAATCTGCTGCACAAGAACTCTGTGAAGTGTTGAAGAGCAAAGATGTCAATGTGAAGACTAAGGTGCATCTGACCCAAGCTATGATATTTTCAGTAGCTTCAAATGCATGTGAAAGTTGGACAGTGAATAAGGATTTGAGTTATGGCATTGGAGGAGAATATTAATAGTACAATGGACTGCCAGAAAAAGAAACAAATCTGTGTTGGAAAAAGTATTGCCAGATGCTCTTTGGAAGCCAGGATGGCCAGACAGACTTCTTCTCCCAAACTTTGAACATATTATCCGGAGGTCTGGTAGCGTAGTGGTTACGAATCGGGCTGCGAACCTAAAGGTTAGCGGTTCGAAACTACCAGCTGCTCCGCGGGA